ACATTTAGCATGGATTCTACACGTTAGCATGCTAACATTTAGCATGGATGCTACACGTTAGCATGCTAACACTTAGCATGGACGCTACACATTAGCATGCTAACATTTAGCATGGATGCTACACGTTAGCATGCTAACATTTAGCATGGATGCTACACGTTAGCATGCTAACATTTAGTATGGATGCTACACGTTAGCATGCTAACACTTAGCATGGATGCTACACATTAGCATGCTAACATTCTCTGCTGTGATTGTTCAGTGTTTATATTAGATTTTATAAAAGTGTTTATTAATAAACTTTATGATTATAATCATGTTTATTTGAGACGTTTTTAACACTAATGATAGAAATGTTTGAATCAGTTTTCTTCTTTTTGTTCCTACATGAAGTTAAATCATCTCTTAGTCATCTGCCTGAGACTTTCCCAGCATGACTCACTCCTCTGAACTGGGACGGGGGGGATGGGGGGTTATTTCTCAGACTCTGAAGCTGGTTTGAGTTAAAGTGAGCTCATGGAAAAACCTCTCGTCTCGTTTTTAGATGTGAACGTTTGCACCAAGGCCAACGCGCAGTCCTGCGGGGAGTGCATCCAGGTGTCTGAAACATGCGGGTGGTGCTCAGACGAGGTGGGTTCACCCCCCAAAACTGTCAAAGTGGTTTTATTACAAACACTCGTTACCTGAAGCAGAACGTTGTTTGTGTCACACATGTTGAGAAACGAGGGGTTAAAATTAAACTTTTGATTTAGAGGATTATAAGAGGAAAAGAAAGAGGATAAATCACTTTTTTCTTAGACTCTCATAATATTCTTATTTGAAACCTCTGAGGCGAGAAACGATGAGCTCTGATTGGTCAACAGGTATTTTATTTTGGCTCAGGTTGTGGTCTTGTTGGATCCTGCCTGAGCTTCTTCCTCAGAGGTGATGATGTTTATTTGAGGAAACATTCGGTAACTAAACACCTTTTAGTCTTTTTCTCTTGTGTAAAYTAAGATGAGGTTTTTCATGTGATTTTAAAGAACTGGTTCAAAGTCTTATTTTATGACTGACTTCATTGTTTTTAAGCTCTTTTCTCTTCACCTTTTTGGTTTTCGTGTGGATCCAGTCTGCAGCTCCAAACCTTGTCTGTTTATGTTTTGTTTTCTTACTGCTCTTTAAGATTGAGRAAAAAAAGCAGAATTTAAGTATTTTTCTTCTGTAAATGAGGAYGTAGGTTTTCAGACTCATGAAGAGGCAGATAAAAATCCTCACGGATGTTTTTGTTGCATGTCTCGTCACGCTGAGCCCACTCGTTTCCAGGAACGAGCTGTTAAACATTACTTTATCAGGACGAGTTTGAAAAGATATTTAAGGTAAAAACGTGGTCAGGTTCATTTTTTCTTTTCATTTAGTCCTTCTGCATATTGTTCTCACCAAATAAACAGGGGTGTAAGAAAATATCGATACACTGAAATATCGCGATATCTCATTTCCCAATACTGTATCGATATTCTAAAGCCCTGTAT